TATTTTTTAAACAATGTCTACACAATTCTGCAATACTATCAGGTAGCAACAGACTTAGCATAAGTTGATAGACAGCAATTACAAAATGCAAACTTTGATGCTTTGTAGTCTTGCTGTTGGTAGAAAAAACCCGAGGGCTACTCAGTCCAGAACAAAGACTGATCATAAAAGAGAGAGTATGAGCACTTAAAAGTTATAGGAAAACAATTCAGCTGTGAGAAAGAAACCACATTTGTTCAATTTAATTTGATTACTACATGGCACCAGCATCAGCAGATCAATCGACAGATAAATAGATTCCAGTCTTACAGTGAAAGATCTCAGAATGCATTCTGAGTGGCCAGGTTCTCAAATAATAACATAAAACTTGGAGTAGAAATGGAGTTCCTTTCATAGTGAGTGTGGAAAAAGAATTACTATTTTTAAGGGCTATTACAGTGTAACAATTTATTACATGAATCATAACTGTCTTAGTGTTACCTTGTTTCTTGTTTGCTCCTTGAATTCACCTTCTAATACATTCTTATGCAGAACTCTCCTAGTTCCTCAGATCAGGCTCTATTTTTCATGGTATGCATCAACCGTGCACCACCATGAGTGAAGACTCCAAATACAGCTGCAATACCTAGAAATACATAAATGTCTTTTTGCATGAACCATTTTATTACAGAGATGTCAAACTGTATCCCCTTGATGAAAAATGCTCATAGACTTTTCATCCTAATTTGAGACAAAACCAAGTGGTGAAATATTCAGAGTTTTTCGTAAAACGGAAATTCCATTTTTCAGTCAGCTCTACAGAGACCCATTAGAGCAAGCAGGCCATCTCCCTTCACATGCAAGAGTATTCCAGATACCATATTACTCAGTGTTTTTTCCAGTCTGGTTAGATTTTCACAACCTGTTTTTGTTAGTTTCCTGGTGCTGCAAATGTGATTATTTGATTTCTTTCAACTGAAGCATACTGAGACATTCACAGGATATAAAACCATATACTTCATCCAATAAAGAAAAAGAACAATAATGTGAAAGATTTCTTGTGAAAAGTTTTCTGACATAAAGGGAAATATCTCTTCTCTTCTTCATGACATGGAGCATATGCTCCTCCAAAAATATCCCTCACTAAAATAGAACATGAGTCTGGAATTCACTGAAACTGTTTTATTCCTGTATGCCACAGCACTTAATTCAAGAGATGCTGTATTAAACCTAACTGGGAGGCCAAAGTACATAATATGTAATCATATTCCAACCATTTCAGGTTTCTATCCCTTTTCCATCTGACTAAAGCATTAAGTAAAACGTCCCAAAATGTTGCACTCGATTGTATGTAACTGAAAAGTTTGCATGTTCCACCTTCTCTTTAATTAGTTTATAATATGCTTCGGAGTATAGGGGCATGGCAGATGACAGGTAGGTATGAATTTATTAGTAACAAAAGCAATTCCATTGTTAACAATGTAGCAAATCTCTAGCCACCTATATTCAATATCATGTTTATTACTCAAGAAATAGTTAACAGAAAACTTAAAAGAGATTTTTCAGGAGAAAAACATTTATTTTAGAATGATATCTTGTAGTATATTACATTCATAGATATTGAGGGAGTGTTTTGAGCTTCTTCAACCAGAAGGGCCATAGAACTTCACTCTAATTCGTGTCTTAGGCCCTTAACCTACAGGTGATCTAGACCGTCAAGTCTATAACCCCATGTTTTTTTAAATAGATGACTGAAATAAGAAAATAGGATGAGAGCTCTGTTTTCTTGAGAGTATTTGAGAAGGATCTTTCCTAAACAACCATCCAGGGCAGTCCAGGAGAGGATTTGAAGAGGGGAGACTTGTATCTAAACCCTTACTTATAATTTTCTTATTCTCTTTTTTGCTTTATTTTGGAAGTATGATGTGAACTGGAGAACCAACAGCTAGCAGTTACCTTTAGGGCAGGGGTCTGTGGCAAGGGGACAAGGTCTGAGCCTGTTCCTAGGGAGGCATGAGACTCTAATGGGTTCGGTGTCTCTCTTCACCTGCTTCAGTTTTCCTTAGCAGAAAAGAAAGCAGTAGAAACGAGTTGTGGGCCTCTTACTTGTCTTTCACCCATGTTAGTTGGAAGTCTGGTGTAACTCGGAGGCTTCAGGAGTTGTCTCCTTTACTATCAGAACTAAAGAATATTTGTTACTGAGAGTCTACTGCACACTCACTCCATCACCCAAAAATGCAGTTCATTTAGATAACAAACTCAGGGGAAACCATTTCCAGCCCTAAGATGTATGAAAGAAAACATGAGTTCTGCACAAGGGGAAGAACATTACGGTTTGCCGTACAATAGTGTAGCTCACAGCTTTGCAGCGTGGTTTCTCTTGCTGGTTCCTGCAATAAATTCCAGTCAAACCTCATCCACTCTGCCAGACGTTGCTCTTGCCTTTCAAGAAAGCCCTTACCAAAGTGGAATTCCATTTTTCAGTCAGCTCTACAGAGACCCATTAGAGCAAGCAGGCCATCTCCCTTCACATGCAAGAGTATTCCAGATACCATATTACTCAGTGTTTTTTCCAGTCTGGTTAGATTTTCACAACCTGTTTTTGTTAGTTTCCTGGTGCTGCAAATGTGATTATTTGATTTCTTTCAACTGAAGCATACTGAGACATTCACAGGATATAAAACCATATACTTCATCCAATAAAGAAAAAGAACAATAATGTGAAAGATTTCTTGTGAAAAGTTTTCTGACATAAAGGGAAATATCTCTTCTCTTCTTCATGACATGGAGCATATGCTCCTCCAAAAATATCCCTCACTAAAATAGAACATGAGTCTGGAATTCACTGAAACTGTTTTATTCCTGTATGCCACAGCACTTAATTCAAGAGATGCTGTATTAAACCTAACTGGGAGGCCAAAGTACATAATATGTAATCATATTCCAACCATTTCAGGTTTCTATCCCTTTTCCATCTGACTAAAGCATTAAGTAAAACGTCCCAAAATGTTGCACTCGATTGTATGTAACTGAAAAGTTTGCATGTTCCACCTTCTCTTTAATTAGTTTATAATATGCTTCGGAGTATAGGGGCATGGCAGATGACAGGTAGGTATGAATTTATTAGTAACAAAAGCAATTCCATTGTTAACAATGCAGCAAATCTCTAGCCACCTGTATCCAATATCATGTTTATTACTCAAGAAATAGTTAACAGAAAACTTAAAAGAGATTTTTCAGGAGAAAAACATTTATTTTAGAATGATATCTTGTAGTATATTACATTCATAGATATTGAGGGAGTGTTTTGAGCTTCTTCAACCAGAAGGGCCATAGAACTTCACTCTAATTCGTGTCTTAGGCCCTTAACCTACAGGTGATCTACACCATCAAGTCTATAACCCCATGTTTTTTTAAATAGATGACTGAAATAAGAAAATAGGATGAGAGCTCTGTTTTCTTGAGAGTATTTGAGAAGGATCTTTCCTAAACAACCATCCAGGGCAGTCCAGGAGAGGATTTGAAGAGGGGAGACTTGTATCTAAACCCTTACTTATAATTTTCTTATTCTCTTTTTTGCTTTATTTTGGAAGTATGATGTGAACTGGAGAACCAACAGCTAGCAGTTACCTTTAGGGCAGGGGTCTGTGGCAAGGGGACAAGGTCTGAGCCTGTTCCTAGGGAGGCATGAGACTCTAATGGGTTCGGTGTCTCTCTTCACCTGCTTCAGTTTTCCTTAGCAGAAAAGAAAGCAGTAGAAACGAGTTGTGGGCCTCTTACTTGTCTTTCACCCATGTTAGTTGGAAGTCTGGTGTAACTCGGAGGCTTCAGGAGTTGTCTCCTTTACTATCAGAACTAAAGAATATTTGTTACTGAGAGTCTACTGCACACTCACTCCATCACCCAAAAATGCAGTTCATTTAGATAACAAACTCAGGGGAAAGCATTTCCAGCCCTAAGATGTATGAAAGAAAACATGAGTTCTGCACAAGGGGAAGAACATTACGGTTTGCCGTACAATAGTGTAGCTCACAGCTTTGCAGCGTGGTTTCTCTTGCTGGTTCCTGCAATAAATTCCAGTCAAACCTCATCCACTCTGCCAGACGTTGCTCTTGCCTTTCAAGAAAGCCCTTACCAAAGTGGGTGCTCAGGCAGGCTGGTGGCGGGATTCGTGTCGCCCCTCACTACCGTCACCCCAGGGGTGGGCCACGGGGCCATGTCCTGCCCGGCGTGGTGAGGAAGGAATGGCTCCCCACAGCCCCAGCCCTGGCGCCGGGAGCTCACGGGGTCTCTCTGCTACCTCCGTACCCACTCAGCAGCCAGGATGGTGCCACAGGGCTCACGATCTGCCTGAGGAGCGCCCAAACCCACCCGCTCCAGCGCCCCGCCCGCTTTCCCGCCATTTCTTCGCCCCCTCAGGGGCAGGGGGGCAGGGGGCGCCTGCGGAAGGTGCTGGAAGCTGGGCCGGCCTGCTCCCTTCCACCGCGTGAGGGAACGCCGAGCGTGGCAGGTCTGTCGCGGGGACGAGGATGGAGGGAAAGGACCCGTCTCCCAGCTTGGAAGAAACCCTCAAAGCGGCAGATGTGAGGAAAGCGCCTGGGAATGGCTACTCCAAAGGGCAGGCTGCATCCTGCGAGCTACGCTGAATACCTCTAGCCTGCCATGTAAAACTGTCCTTCAGCTGGCGGAGGCGGGAGAGGGAGAAGGGATCACCTCTCCTCACTGCGGAGGTGAGCGGTTCTAGCACATTTCCACCATGCTGTCCGGGTATCACCTGTGTGGGAAACCCTGCCCAGAAAGCCAGGGCAGGCGTCAGCCATTACTCCCACCAGAACCGCCAGGCTTCTGGCTGCCTGCAGGCAGTAGGTACCCTGGGGAACCGCTAATGAGCTACAAAGCCATTAGTCGGTAGGTCAGAAGGGTGAGCCCAATCCTGTGAGCTGAGCAGGGTCCGGCACTGGCAGGCTGCTGAGCTGCGGGCAACACTGAGGAGCCAGCCTGGCTCCACGCTGAGCTCGGCCATGGCCGCCCTCCAGGGATGGGCGTACCACAGAAATGGGGAAGTACCCCAAAACGTGGGGAAGGGGCTGTTTGCTCTTGAAGAGTTTTATTTTTTTAAGGGGTATTTAGGAGTATTATACTAAGGTTTATTCTAAACGTCTTAGCTGGTGTTTGTTCGTTTTGTTGGTGGGTTTTTTTTTTACTTCTTAATCCTGCTTGGTTTTTAAAGCTTTAATTCGCCTCAGTTTCACCCACCCGCCATTCCCTGAGGG